ACTTTCTCAGGTGTCCACATACTTTTGTTTTTCAAAACAATAAATAATTGAACAGTAGTTCACAATGTATTCAGAAGTAGTGCATTCCTATACTTTCGCTTATGAGGAATCTAACAGTGATGGTCTCAGATCGCAAAATCCAAATGCAACTTCGCAAAATCAAAATTTGAGGTGTCCACATACTTTTGTTACGCACTGTATTGGTGATTCTGTCTTCATCTTTCCTTGACCTTTAGTCGGCACGGAGGGCGTCTTTTCTGAGCTTGTCGAGTGACTGGAGTTGGCTCGGCATCTTGCGTCGTCAGTCGATCCATGTATGACTCCGCATCAGGTCTCGGTATAGGCGGGTTCTTGTCCACACATGGAAGCAGTGGCAGATTAAGCATCCATAAGCGACTCGTATCGGCCGGGCATATACCGGGACAAAGGCTGATTGGCTTGTTTTCTCCATAACTGATCCTTTACCTGAACATCATAGAGACATTTGTCCATGACGAAACCTTACATCCCGGTTGTAGTCCATCTCGGCGGTCCTATCCGGTTGTCGCGGATCATACGTTATAATTCAAGGGCAAAACTCCTTGAATTTCCTCGACGTTAACTGTGTGCCATTGCCTGTGACCAGTATTTCCGGGTAGCCGAATTGGGAGAATATCCTCCAGAGTTCCTTGGTCGTGGCAGTAGATGTTGTAGTCGACCTTTCAACAACCTCTGGCCAATTCGAATAGGCGTCTACGATGATCAGAAACATCCGCACGTCAATCGGTTCCCGCAAAGTCGGCATGAACACGGTTCCATGGCTTATCTTCGGCAGGCCAAAGAGCGTATTCTTGGTCGGATTCTTGGCCACTTCCTGGCAACGGGTACAGGATTTCACTTTTTCCTCGATATCCTTGCTGACGTGCATCAAGTAGCAGCAGGTTCTGGCTAGCATCTTCATCCTCGAAATTCGGGGTGACCTTTATGCAGGTCTTCGAGGACGGCGGCTTGTAGATTACTGGGGATGACTATGCGATCTCCGAACAGCAAGCATCCTCTGTGAGTAGCGAGGCCGTTGCGCATCGAAGTATCGAAGCAAGTGATCCTTTGGCTTCCTCGGCCACTTTCCAGCTTGAACTCACTGCAGAACTTCTTTCAACTGAGGATCCTTGAGCGTTTCTTCGGCGATAGAGTCCGCTGTTACAAGAAGGCTTGTGGATGCCTGTGAGAACAGGCTCACGGCGTCGACGATTGATTTCGGTTATGCCTGTGTCTCCTGACTGCGATCGGCAATGAGCCGGGATAGGGCGTCAGCTTGTCCGAAATTGTTGGTGGTCCGATACTCAAATGTGAAGTTGTAGTTGAGCATGATGAGAGGCCATCGCTGGAGTCGATTCGCCGTATAAACAGGAATGCCCATTTGACTCCCACAGATGGCGAGAAGCGGCTTGTGATCGGCTTGAATCGAGCGTCTAGCGTTGGGTACCCCGTCGGCAGAGCGAATGGAATTCAAGACTGCGAAGGCCCACGAGCGTTTCCATTCTTTCTCACATCTGTCCATAGTTCTCTCGCGAACAGTCGAGGCGTGCCTGCAAGCGTAGGTAGATTGCTTTTCTGTCCAATCCGAGAAGCGATGTGATATGACTGCTCCTATCCCAAATTCGAAAGCATCGGCCGCAACGACAATCTCCTTCAGATCATAGTGGGTGAGCAGCAGATCCGACGATAAAACCTCCTTGGCGCGCGTCGAAGGCTTGTTGACAGTCGGATGACCAGTTGATTAGTTGATTAGTACGTCCTTCTGGTAGTTTATCGTTCAGTACGTGGCGGACTGTTGTGCGCATTTCCTCAACGAAGACCCCATAGGAGTTGAGAAGTCCCAGGAACGATCGTACTTGGCCGATGTCCTTGGAAGGCGGCATCTTTTTGATAACCTCTGATCTTATGAGGAGTCGGGATGGCGTCCATCGCATCGATGATATTGCAGAAATAGCGGATTTGGGGCATCAGGAAACTGCATTTGTCGATGCGGACGCGGAAGCCGAATTTGTTGATTCTGTCGAACAGGGCTTCCAAATTGCCCTGGTGTTCCTCTGTGGTACGACCAGTAACGATGACGTCGTCTAAGGAGGCGTCCATCCAATCCAGTAATCATGGAATCGATTATTTGCTGAAATATTCCTGGTGCTGATTTCACTCCGAATGGTAGACGATTGTAGACGAATAGGCCTCGGTGGGTGTTGATCGTCAGAAGTTCCTTCGAAGGCATCGTCGACTTCCACTTGCAGGTAGGCATCAGCGAAGTCGATTTGTGAGAAGACCGCGGGGAAACCCCACTGGATTGCTAATCCATTGGGGGTTCTCCGCGTGAGTCGCGGATCTCATCCTGATCGCCAGTGTTGTGTCCTCGAGCGCTGGAGACGAATAGTAGAACAGCTTTATTACAGAATAATAGTGGAATGATTATCACAGAAAGTACCGGCCTTATATACCGGTAAAAATGGGCGGAGTTGATCAGGATCACAGGCTGATCTTGGAATTCACGATCGCCTACAATGCCTTTGATCCATTGGCAAGATCAAGGCTCATCACTGATCCAACGAAACTCAGGTGGCGAACCTCCAGGAGAAGGACCAGCTTCTGCACGAGAAAACCAAGCGTATACAAGAATACGAAGATCTCCTGGTTCGTACTCAGCCCTTAGCAATTTCCTTCTAGTTTTGCTGAACTTATGGAAACTCAGGCGGCGGATCCCAACGGGAAGGACGAACAGCTGAGCGAGAAAAGCAAACGAATACAAGAACTCAAAGATCTGAACACTCGACTGGTTCGTCCTGGACTGTTAGCCAATTTCCTCCTAGTTTTGCTGAACTTATAGAAACTTAGGTGGCGACCCAACAGGAGAAGGAACAGCTTCTGCTCGAGAAAGCCCAACGAATACAGGAATGCGAAGATCTCCTGGTTTGTACTGAACTCGCCAATTTCCTCCTTGTTTTGCTGAACTTATAGAAACTTAGGTGGCGACCCAACAGGAGAAGGAACAGTTTCTGCTCGAGAAAGCCCAACGAATACAGGAATGCGAAGATCTCCTGGTTTGTACTGAACTCGCCAATTTCCTCCTTGTTTTGCTGAACTTATAGAAACTTAGGTGGCGACCCAACAGGAGAAGGACCAGCAGCTGCACGAGAAAGCCCAACGAATACAGGAATGCGAAGATCTCAACTTTCAACTGGTTTGTCCTGGACTGTTACCAATTTCCTTCCAGTTGCACAGGTTTTATAGGAACTCATACTGAACCACTGCAAGCGTTGCTGGAAAAGATAATGACCGAATATGAACTGAGTAGAAAACTTAAAGAAAAACGAAAGGAACCCAATATGATTTTCGAAACAAACTTTGCAAAATATCTCGATTCCTTGTTAAGTATTGCGTGGATGCTCATCGTACCACTGTTGTGCTGTAAGCAGGGTTTTTGCATTACGGTATTTGAATTTTAGTTGACAAAGTGCTTGGCCATTCATGTCTCTGTTCCTTAGTTGTATCAAAAGGTCTCTCATCAATAAATTGGAACTGTTCCACTGGGGTTTAGGTTTCGGGAGTTCTGGTTCACCCCAGCCGGCACTCCTTGTGCACGGAAACGATTACCCATTTTATTCAGTGAATTTGCTTCTACATTCCCGGTTCATTCCTGGCCAATTAAGACGCCCCTTCTAACTTCCAAAACAACTGGCTGATCAAGCCGCCAACAGCCTTGATCGGTCAGTCGCTATTCGATGGTAATCAACGTCTTAAACACGGATTTTTGTTTGAGATCCACACTCCACATCGCTCAGTCGCGCTGGTCATAGTAGTTTCAGTTACATGGCGTACCACAGGTTGGTGGACCAGCTTGGCTGACGCGCACTACTGCGCGCATGGTTGAATCTATGGTAATGGTACTAATCGCTGACAGGATTCCTGTGCTGACCCCGAACACTGGGCCCGAGCGCCATTTTTTGAAATACGGCCCATTTCATTATGTTTCTCCTGTTTAATGAACATTTGCTAATGTCTGGTGCTTATCACATTTCTAAAGAGCACTCACCATTCGTTGGAAATAGGACAGCTTAGCGGTTGAAAGAATTTCGATGGTAATAACATGGACACCATAGTGATATATTCTCACATCCTAGTACTTTCGTTAAGCAGCTTCCAAAGCTTTTAATTTTTGTCGACTCTCGAGTGTTTAGCGGTCGAATCAGTCATAACCCTATCGCTAAGGGATGGAATAAGTTGACTCATAAGCCTCTGCCCATTGTTTCGTGGGCACCGGCGCTCAAGTTCGCGGACTGAGCCAGTAAAGGAATCGCGAACCAGGTACTGGTGCTTATGAGCCCTTTTCTCACACTACATGCAACTTATATCCCTTCACGAATGCTCCGTAACCCCTTCTGAGTGACTTGCCGGAAGCAGTTTCCCCAGTGCTTGCCTACAAATTCGGGCTATAGGGACTTCGGGGCGGCATTCCTCTGCCCGTCTTGCACCAATAATAATTGTCCCATTCCTGACCCGATCTAACATTCTGGGCAAACCAACGTCCCATCGCTGTTGTGACCGGCGCTATAGAGTTGGTGACCTTTCCCTTCTAAGGCTCCTCGTGGTATCTTATCAGCTGTTATCACTTCCTGCCACCCACCAATAATGTTTCCATACTGCCCCCTATCTTGGATCCAACTTCCGGTCGTTGCTCTGGCCGGTGTTATGAATTAGGTAACCCACCCATTCTAAGGCCCCTTATGTTATCTTATCAACTGTTATCACTTCCTGCCACCCAGAAATAATGTTCCCATCCTGCCCCCTATATTAGTGCTTGAATCCAACTCGGTCGTTGCTCTGGTCGGTGTTATGAATTAGGTAACCCACCCATTCTAAGGCCCCTTATGTTATCTTATCGACTGTTATCACTTCCTGCCACCCACCAAAAATGTTCCTGCTCCACCCCCTACATAACCTATCAACTTGAGCGCTTTGTCGCTGTTCTGAAGAAAGTTATAAATTTCCCCGGCAAACACACATACAGAAAACATCACACACACACTTACACACCAACAGACACACTTAGCGATTATATATACGTAGGAATGTTTCATTTTTGCGAACATCGTTCCACCTAATCTGTAGATCGGGCAAAGAGGTGTCACAATTATTCTGAAATGAAAATCGCCCATGAAAAGGCAGCCGCTGCAACGTCAAAGGAAGTACGTGGCCAAGCCCACCGCTTAGCATGTTTAACCACACATGTTTGGTGAATATCTTGTCTTTGTATTTTGCTTACGATGGGCGCAGTTTTACGAACGGTGGGGGGGGCGCATTGCACTTGCGATATGACAAAGAGGCATTTTCGTTTGAGGGTGCCAGGTTTTATGATGGTAAGCTTTGATGAACCTAACTCTAGCTAACAAAAGGTTTCACAGGGGTTTTTCCAGAGTGTTTTGTAAACTTGCCAACCAATGCAGCCAGCGTAAAGCTCAAAAGTGGCTAGTCCCTGTTCGCCGAACAGCGCCCTTTCTGGGTAACCTTACATTTACATAAATCCACGTTTTTGTTTACTAACTCCTACTGAACTATTACATTGTGTATAGGCTATCGGTCGGTTCTTTGTTTGCCTAGAGTTTATTAAATTGCCAACTGGAGACTGAAAAGGAGCAAGCTGTAGAAGAAAGCGAGCGACTGCGAGGAGAAATATCACGACTCAGACAGATCTTCGGCGTTGGATGCTGCGTTTGTATGGAGAGCAAGGTAATCCTGAACTGTTTATCATCTTTTCCGTCATTCACCTTTCTTCATCATCACAGAAGTTAGATGTGGGGAGAGGCGCGTCAGTAGTGTCATTCCATGGCTCCGCCCACTTTACAATGCCGAGCGGTATCCAAAAGATACAGTTCTTAGATTGCATGAAGAAGGTCACGCTACTGTTGTGCCGTTTGCCCTTGCTTCTCCTCCTCTTTATCGTCTGAAGACAGCTCTCACGTAGAAGCGTGTTTTCAATTATGAAACAGTAGCCGTTAAGTAATCCCCAGAAAAGAAAAAAGCAAGAAGATTCCTCAGGAACGCCATAAACAATATCGTTCTTCAACGGTCATACCTCCCTGCGTTCTCAACCCCTGGCACACAAATCCCTTTGTTATATCTTTCAGTAAAAAAATAGTAATATCATCTTAACGCGAAGGATAGAAGACGAAAAAACGAACAAAAAATAAGGCAGAGAAATCTTGAAAAAGGGAAAAAGAAACTCTCAAACACTTCCGCCGAGTTCAGGTGTTAACGGTACGGCATTTTTTCAGCGCTAGTGCATGGTGCATACGAGTTTTTCCACACGTAATTGAGGTCTGCCCCCGTGAATTATAGCGTTTTATCTTGCGAAAATGTAGCTTAGGGTTGACTGGTGCCCGCTAACTATTGTATAAAAGTAAATTAAGGTAAGCACAATCATTTTCATTAGGCAATGATCGCGCTGTCCAGTTAAACGGACATGGCGTTTCCGATTAATGCCCCGCGCCCAACAAGAAAGGAAGCAACTGAGCGCCCTGCTCAGAGGGCATCTAGCAAGTTGGGGCGTCCAGCTGGGCGCGGCATTAGGAACTGCGGAATTTTCCCGGGCCAGGTGCACACGTTCCTTCGCTCTCGGCTGAGAGAGTGGGAACTGTCTCTAGCTTGCGGGCTGTACCACTTGTAGAGCAGGACGCCTATATACTCTTGAGCACGGGGACTGTTTTTGAAGGATACTGCAACGAGCAAGTCCGACGGTTGGGATAACCCCGCCCACATGATCAGCAAGACCGTGTGTTACTGCTCACCAGGAAAGGTCAACAGGTCAGCCTGGCCATTTGCAATGAGATGCACATCGTTGTACCCGTCTTGAGACGACTGGTGAACTCAAAACTATCTTCAAAATTTGCTCGAAAGAGTCTGCTTCTGAGCGGAGTTAGGAGGCCGTTTTTCTTCACGATTCTTTCTTCTAACGGCGCGCTGGCCGCCGAAGCGTTGGCAACGTAGCGTCGACTCCAGACCCTTTCGGGCCACAGAAACAGGTATCATGATTCGTGATTCAGGGGGTCAAATAACCCCTAGGGTTGTCACCTTAACGAAGTTTGAGGTTCTGACTCAACTTCGAAAAAAATGAGGTATGATAGTCGTGGCTGGCTGATAGCCAACAGGACTACGACCAGCATACTGTGTGATGATTGGTTTTCGAACTGAAATAACTCTCAGTCCATGTTTTTCGTAACACACTTACCTGGGTTTACTTCTAATGTGTGTGCCGTTTGCAGTCATTTCTGACTTCGGCGCGAGGAATCCCATTCAGAGACCAGTCATTGATGAAAAGTGAGCTCCAGTCTGCTGCTAATTACCCATGGAATAGCCCACATTTTCCAAGTGAGCTCGAAATATCAGGATTCGATGCTAAATAACTCTGCTCTCTAGGGGGTAATCTAAACACGCGCTGAACATGAATATGATGGTATTTCATTGCAAAAACCCTTGTGACACGTGTTACGAGGGGTACAAGCAGAACACTCTTTCAGGCCACAATGGGTCTACACTTTCGAAAAAAATGATTGCAGGTTCCCTTATAAGGCAGTGCAGGCGATCAGAGATGTCAGAAGCTTTGTCGGCTATGTTCTTGGACAAATGCAAAAAGAGCCGTCTGCCCCAGAACCGATCCTACGACGTCTCGCCTAAGAAACCCGCTCCCTACCCGTTGCGCTCTACTACCACGTTTCAGCATGACTCCATACATAAATGTAAGACGCTTCCACGTTTCCTCGCGATAGCATGTGAAACGACCACGCGGGGATAAGACCCTCCATAACTCCGCTCAGAAAATCGTTCCGCAAATTCTAAACGTAGATTTGAGTTCACTGTCCTATGCGGCGTTACAACGGTGTGCAGCTCATTGGAAATGGCCAGGCTGACCTGTTGACCTTTCCTGGTCAGTAGGGAAGAATGAACACGTGAAAGATTCGGATGATTCCGATTGGTCGCGATTTCACAAGCATCGCGCAACTTTGTGCTCACAGCGCCACCTTGACCATTTTTCACGAATTTCTAGTTTTTTGTGAAAGCAGTTAAATTTTCACATGTGTCGTTTCAGCTCTTGCGTTGTATCCTGCCGCACCATGCGGCCAATGGTCATCTGTGATACCTTGAACATCTCGTTCATAACATTCACTCAATGTTTTTGCCGCCGGACATGCTCGTGACTCGCATAAAAGTCTTCTCATAAGAAGCTCCTGCAGCCCATGAAGATAGTCAAAAACACCTTCAAAGAGCCTCTATGTAGTAATGATTTTGTCTTTTGGCTTGTATTGTGCTGTACTTATTCAATGGCTTCTTGACAACCCTCATTGTTGGCTAGTACGGAAGATGGACTGCCTGTGCCTCATGCCTTCACTGCTCTCCTATATTTTTCGGAGTTCGCGTCAGATTCGCCATACCAAAGGCCAACATTATGATAAAGCTTAAAAGTTTTAACTCTAGAAATGTAGTTGATATAATCACCTATAGCCGTTCTCGCTGTAAAGAGTGGGCTTGTCAAGGGGGCTGGATTTGGCGCGGTTCCAACCTAAACTCCAACAGTTGTGATCACTTGTCCGCTTGATCAACTGGTGGCGTGCAGACTTGCGCCGAGCCAAACCCGACCGCCTGACACCCGAGCCTCTTAGTAGCAACTACCACAGTGACAGTACCGGAAAGTGATTCTGACGGGGTAGAAAAATCATTTTTTTGACCCCCTGACATACGTGAAGATTTGCATACATACATACATACAGACGCACATACATAGATACATCCGACAGTAATAACGGTAGTTAATAAATTCGAGACAGTAATAATGATTGTAGTATTATATTGAGTTGGTGCTGTTTGGTTTGGGAAGGGAATTGCATTTTTGCTACTTCCGTCCCACTAAGTCATGTTAATTAACAGGGTTTTTCCTGGTTGAGACCAGGCGCGAAGCTGCATGATTGGCGAAGGTAAGGAGGTTTTGACACCATGTGGCTCTTTCGAGATTGATGAGGCCAGAGAATTCTTTGGGTGATGGCCAAGTGGTGATTGCGAGGGTATGAGAAAACGAGGTCTTGTTTGCTGCGGAGATGGGTAGTGGGTGGGCTTGAGCGGCGCGGGCCCGTTTTCTCTTGTTTCCTTCGGCAAACGACAATTCTGTATCACCTTGTTCCTATCAGTCGTTTTCCACCATGCTCCTACTTAGCCGCTCCAATAACTAGCGGAGAATGGGTCGATTGCGCACCATCCTAGCTGCACTGACACGCCCCTTTATCCGCAGCGAACAAGACTGTGCCCTTGAGTTCAAAATCTAATCTTTTTGCCTTTGTGCTACATGCCAGGCATTTGAAAGCCATTGCTACATGGCTTGTTCAAAGACAGCTCAAAACCAGCTTTTCGCCTCATTGCTATTGTTATCTCAAGCAACACTTGGTACAGTTGCAGCGACCCTGAAGGTATGGCATAACCGAGTCTGCAAAGCGGAGTCGATCTTGTCGGTTCTGCTAACTGCTCTGTTGGCTTCTGGGTTTCAGTGACCTCTTCACGATCAGAATTAGAGAATCCTTGGCTCACGTGGAACCCAACTGGAATTAGCCAATGGCGGAGTGTTCGGTATTGATCACCTCCCTTGGAGCGCTCATTTTATTGAAATTCAAGGTCAAGGTTCAGCGCAATGTTTGCTGATTCTACGCAAAAGGTTGTGTCCGAGTCGACCAGTAACGACAAGTCATCGTGGCTCGAAGACAACCCTATGTTCTACATACTGTAAGCGACAGCGAGTGGTGTGGCAGTATGAGGCATCACGGCGTTGTGGAAAAATTTCATGGTTAATAGCACCTCGACCCCCCCCCCCCCTTTCAAGGTAAAATTTCTTTACCAACTCTCACCATGCCGAATTCTGACCAGTTTTTGCAGTCGAATATCGGTCGGGCAAGAGGCAATGGGGAGATCAGTGTGACGCGCAATATATTGGTAGAAATACAAAGTGCGAAGAATTTTTTGCGAGACTGACACGGCTCCTTCCTCTACTGCAGTTGGATACGAGCCCCTAACGTTGTGATTCTCGCAACGGATGATGTGCCGTGTTAGGGGCTGAACTGCGCAAGGCGTCCCCCTAGTAGAAAAAGCTCGCCCACTGCGGCGCCTATACTCGTTGTGCTTCTTTCATCTGTCCACAAACGACGGCGGATGATCACTCCGGCAAGGGAAAAGGACAAATTCAAGGGGAGACGAGACTCCATGAAGGCGATATAACTGTTCTCATCCGCTTGACTTCACATGCAAACGGTCAGGGGGACAACTCGTCCATGGAGCGTGGCGTCGCTTGTCACGCCCACGGCATTTCAGTATTGTCTTAAAGTGTATAGTGCATCTCCGGCAGTGCATGAGTGGTGGGCTAAGAACAAACCTATCGGTGACTTGCAGTTGACAGCCACTTAATCGTGCTCTCGGTGATTATCTATCCGCTTCTGGGATGCGCCATGTCGTCTACTTGAATTCAGGACTGGCATGACATATGAACACGATTCGCACTAAGCAGTTACTTGCTTAGGTCAGGCGATGTACTATACAGCCTTTTTATCCCCACGAACAATTCTCGTTTCAACCAACCGACCCCAGAAGTATGGAATTCTTTCCAGTACCTCAGGTTTTTATAGATGTGTTGCCTAAGTTGTCGCTAGCACGCATCATTGTGCCTTCTTTTGAGCCAGGTGTTCGCGGTCGGTCGTCTTCTATGCTAACACATCGATTGCTCATCACCTTATCTGTGGGCTAGAATTCCGCTGTTGACTTTGGCTAGCACACCGCCTGACTCATTGAACTCATCATTTCCTTTCCAACTGGTCTTTCACTGTAGTACTAGTAGGGTTGGTGCTAGTAATTACATGGTAGCACTACTGCGAAATGAAACATTGTACGTGAAGACTGAACCGGTTTTTCAGTTGTCTCTACAGCGATGGTGTTACAGTTTTGATCCTTATTCACACTCTCTCTATGGGGTAAATTTGCATATTCAAC